GATTTGACATATATACATTCTCGCTTTATAAAACCACAAATGAAACAGGTTTTTGAATTGGACAAAAACGCAATAAAATGCGCATTGCGTAACGACTACACGCATGTTAGAAATTATGATTACGTGTGGCCATCTGTGTTACTTATTTCTTAATATAAAACTTATTAAATATAATTAGTTTATTGGCCACTGCATCGAGTGTCGGATGGGAACTGTACTACTTTGATTATTATCTGTATTCTACTGGCAATGCCTTATTACGTCACCTTGCTAATGAATTGTCTGTCTTTGACTATTGTCATTCTTCAGTCAATTTACCAGTTGGCTTTAGACATTACTGACTTACACACACGTGTAGACATCCACAATGATACAATAAATACGAGAGATTAGACGATAAAGTGCATGTCTAAACGGATGCTTTTAACATCAACAAGGCAAAATAGCAACGAAGAAAACCGCTGCACTGGATGTGCTATGAGCAGTCACAGGCTACATTAATAGCAGTATTACTATTCCGCCGGTAGTGCTAACAAAATTGCCTTGTGACGCTGTAATATCGTCGCGTTTCTCGCCATGGCAACTAGTCAGCCAGTCATGCGTCTCTGTGACAATCTAGAAATATACTACAATGTATCGGGCCGTAGTGTGTTTGTCTTTACACCACGCTTTACCGTGCGCCACCAGGTGGTTTGGCACACGGGGAATATGACTACTCTCATACACAGCAGTATCCCCCTCCTTTCCCTAGTAGGTAACATCAATATAGTTTTAACGATTTTACGTAATTATGTTGTTCACCGCAGTGTGACGTAACGCATTACGATTGAAGGTTTCATTATCTGTGTTAGTTTCATTGGCGACATTATACGTACTCGTCTGTGAACGCTGGTTTGCATTTAACTCGCCTAAGGCGGTGGTTACCATGCATCTGGTCTGAATAAGTATGTGTGTTCTTTTGTTTATTCAGACCCGCACGTTTATTCGCTGCGTCTCCCTCCTACTTGACATATTAAGATTCATCGCGCACGCCCAGTTAGGCGCTAGCTCGGTCCCATATGAGACGTGTATTACGATAAATTAATATTCGCCTAGGGGGCCCTGAGGTAGCAGTATTCGATTTATCGACCACTGTACAAGAGTTAAGCGCCGAGTTCCAATCTCACTTCTGTTTTGCTATGCTGCTCACAATACGTTGTTGTGACTTGCAGTACTCGACTCACCGACGCGAAATATACAGGAACAACACATATCATCAAATACTCGGTTTAGTTTTCCTGGCAACAGTGATACACTGGGATGGTACTTAATCTGTCAACTTCATTCAATTGTATGGGAATTGGTACACCGACAAAGACTTTGTGTTCCAGGATTATAACTGTGCGTGCGCGTGGCTAACCGACACTGAGTAAATATATGATATTTATTTTAACCGAACGACTAAAATATGCAGACATTATTGAACCATGGAGGAAATTAAACGATTATTACGCATTAAGCTCACCATAGCACCGAACGTTGATTTCCGTGCGAGTTAAAATGTTATTCAGAAACCTACACATGAACAACATGTACGGAGTTAGCATATACCATATGTACAGGCGCAAGACGACGGTAATCTGTAAGTAAGTTAGATATTTACGAACCACACACTCGCCATGACTAACACGGAGCAGGCCAACCTATCATGTAATAATTACATTGAGGATGCAAACATTACAAACATTTTCACCGTGCAGCTTGTGGTTGAAACTATCGCATTGGGCGTGCTCAATTTAATGGTAATATGCGGTAATATATTAGTTATACTGGCCGTAGGGATATCGCGCAAACTTCGCTCCGTCACCAACCACTTCATCGTGTCTTTAGCCATGGCTGATCTATTACTGGGTGTGTCTGTTTTACCTTTTTCCGCTACTCTAGAACTGTTGTCGTTTTGGGTGTTTGGGAAGACATGGTGTGTCATATGGTTGGCGGTGGATGTATTGATATGCACGGCTTCTATACTCAATTTATGTGCTATTAGTTTAGATAGATATATCGCTATCACTCGACCTATGAGTTATTGTCATATTATGTCGAAGTGCAGAGCCAAGACACTCATCGCCGCGGTGTGGATAGTAGCATTTCTCATTAGCTTCCCTCCTTTAGTTGGATGGAACGAGAGAAATAAAGATGACTTGACGGGTCTCGCTATTCCCATGGGCAATGACTTCAACCACACTCACTGGAATACCTCTACTTTTCTCCACGAATTTGGATTTGGAAATAACACTAACTTCTACAATACATCGCCGTTCGCTGTTTACGTGGACAGTGTACCACCATCGTCAATTGTGGAATTTCTTACTGAATCAGACGAGAGCAAGAATGATTCCTGTAGTAGTGTCTCGGTTATCGGCATGTTTCATACGTACAACCGAAAGCAGTGTACTTTAACTTCGGAGCCAAGTTACATAGTGTATTCCGCTCTTGGATCCTTTTTCATTCCTATGTGCATTATGTTGTTTCTTTACTGGCGAATTTACCGGGAGGCTACAGAGGCAATGAAGAGTAATAAGCGGGGATATAAACTAACCAGAGGAAATGCGGCCGTTTCTAACCTTGACGAAGCTTTGCGCTCTTCATTAGTTTTGCGCATTCACCGTGGGAATTCTAGTCGATCGAAAGACTACCTGCACCGGTGCATGTACAACGGTTACGCGTATCGGTCCGCGGTTACAGGGACTAACAGAAAGAAGCGCGACAGGTTACGTTGTTTCATTGGTCAACAAACAAGAAATGGTAGACTGCAGCGAGAATCCGAGAGATCCGGCCGTAAGTCATCTACAAAAATAACGGAACATCTGAAGAAGCTACACAAGGAAACTCGCGCTGCCAAGACACTGGCAATTATCGTGGGCGTGTTTATTCTGTGCTGGATGCCTTTTTTTACAGTGTACCTAATCGGTGCATTTTGTCCTAACTGCACCCCAACGGTAGTGTTCAAGATATTCTTTTGGGCGGGTTATTGTAATTCCGCGATTAACCCATTTATATATGCCCGTTTTAGCAAGGATTTCCGCCACGCGTTCAAATACATCTTAGGTTGTTGTAGTAAAGGTATGCTAGGGAAGAGTTCGATGGTGTCAGTGTCGAGATGTTCCAATACTGGCAGAGATAGCGTCATTATGACTACAATTGACCACCCTATATTCCGTCGTCGATCAAGTTCACGGAGCTCGCACGAAGCGCAAAACGTAATTGTTCACACAGGTATAAACGTGTGAACCACCGTGACCAGGAAACTCTAGCTGTCGGTAACAAACGTTCATGAAATGGAACTTCCTGAGTGTGGTCACGGGAGTTGCCATAGCAACCGAATACATGTATTGCTACTCTGGATTAGCTTGAGCTTGAACTCAGTGACGTCGCCGAGGTATTCATATCATTCATCCTAGTGACTGAACTGCATTTGCAAATCGGCGGAAATGAATTTCTTTTAACCGGATTGCTATTTCATGTACGTACATTTTTTTAGACTCTTCGCCTTAATGTTCACAATCACTTGCCAATCCATGTAAGTGGTACGCCTCCCACTGCGACTTATGACAATAAACGTCGCTGGTAGTCAAATCAAACAACTTGAATTTACGTCTTGGAGTTAGCACAAACAATTAGACACGAACAGAATACCTTTACAAGAATTTTAAGGGGAAAGGCAACTACTTGTTCGTCAATGACAAACCACTTTAAAACTTGCATTTTACCACGTTATCAAAATATGCATCTGATTCACACTCCAGTGACGTGTTGAACAGCGCCACGATATTTAAAACCCTTATCTTGCTCCCATAATATTATTTCTATATGACAAAATTAAATGTACAACATTAGACATACAGCTGAACTGATCGCATTACATTATTGTACTATATTAAACTACGCGCGTAATCATACACAACAAACGCGTATACTTTGACGTAAATTGTCGGACACTTAAAAAACGATGATGATGGAAAACTCTCACTATTCAAATGTTGAACAATGTTGTCTTTTTGGTTACTCGGTTAATCCGATTTCTTTGATATGAAGTTACATCTCTGTCTAAAATGATGATCTCCAAAACAACCGTACGTGCGGTGTTATTATAGATTGGTTACTATTGGGACGGCGTCATGTTCACGATGTATGAATTTAAAAATGAAATTAAAACGATACATACATATAAACAAATTGCTATGTGTTGATCTCTTGTTATAGCATTTATCACTACATGTCGACGAAGTAAAACAACCAGAAATTATGATTTTTTTCACGAATGTAACAAATTATGCGTCGACAATAGCAAATAATTACTATGCTAAGGAGTTCAATGATTGTGACTAATGGGAACTAATTAATTAATTAACACTCAAACATTCTGCATCTGTCTCATTGTATGCGACTATAAATAATTAATCTATTTTTTTATCCGAGAAGCTGACTTAGTCATTGATATTTCAATATCATAACCCAAGATATGCCGGCGTGTGGTTTTGCACGATTCACAATTCTATCTATGCTGATCGCGACGTGTACCAAATCAGTTGCTACGTTCGATTATTATCTGCGGGTATTTATAAAACATTTTCAAATTTAATTCCATCGCTGCCAGCCGCGACCTTCTGATTGAAACTCGATGGAATTTGCGTTAAACGTAAACAGTGAAGACGATTGCTTTCGCTACTCAGTCCAGTAGACACTAATTGCGACAATCTACGCACCCTCCCTTATACCCGCAGATTGTATTTGATTACTTAAAATGCATTTCATTATTACACTTTATTAGATTCAGCGAAGGCAATGTTTAGTTTCTACAACAATGTTATTTTTACCAAGCAACATGCACACTGTAAAGTTTTCTAACAGCGTGGTACCATAGACGCTGGTGTGAGTTATTTTCTTCATTCTACAGTCATCTCGAAATAAATAACTATTTCCTTTTGATTAGAACCGAACCAGGTATGACGTATTCAGCATGAGTCTAATAACTGATTAATTATAGTGAGACTTTGTTTTTGTTTCTTGGATGTCAAGCCGTAATATGAAAACCCAGTGCCCAAAATACTTAATTTACTGAACGGCCGAGGCGTTTATCGCAAAATAGGTTGTTTATAAGAAGTATACATGACGAATTGTACTTTGACACCATTATTATTTTCTGCCTGTTTGTAACAACAATTTTCTAAACTCGATATATAATAGTGAAGACGTTGTTTAATATGTAAATACATTGACAATAAAAATAGCCTGTGTTATTCATTTAAAGATATAGTTGTTTACGTTTGTCTGCTGGGTGCGAGAGCCAGCTCACTCAACTAAAATTGAATGAAGCGCGCTGTCCTCGCGTCCACGTCTGCTTATTTTCAAATCTTTGTGGTATCTCCAAGCTCCAACAACTTCAAAATATTGATTGTTTTCAAGGAACACATCATTCCAAAATACCTCCATGGTTGTAGTTTGTGTTTTTGTATATGTTTTGTGTAAATTTGCGCGACGCAACAGGCACGAAATCGCACGTTTGCGCTTCTTTGTCCGTAATATCGGCTGTTGTCTACCAAAGTGTTCAGCCGGTAATCTGAAAATACCCACCAAACGTCGTGCATTTGTACGCGGGTGCATCCACCATCCAACACATGCCTTGTTATAATAATGCACATAACGCAAAACCCCCCATGCCACTTGTCCGTTATGTTATATCGACGGTATATGGGGGAACCAACAGAACCGTATTCTCCGGGGATGTGGACACATTAATAATATATCTATAAATTAGCTACAATTACCAACCTCCGCATGTTACAGACTCTATTTAATATCACGAGTAGTAACCACAATCATCCAACTTCTATAATATTAGTATATCGTTCGATGTACCTTCGTATTAAAAGGACATCAGCCACGATTTACCATTATTTTCATATTTTAGTTCATATAATACTGAACAAAATTTACCTTTGTAGTGCAACATGAGAATACACTGTATTTGACATCTGTTGCATAACATCGCGTTTACCACTGTACCACATCTCTTTTATATCGCCTGCAATAAAATAATGTTATGTGTAGTCAACCACGTATCGCATCTGGTATTTCGCATAAATTGTTGCCCACCAAACAATATATACGAATTATCTCGAGTTTTCCCATTCGTTTTATTATACCCACTCGCTATATTGCCCCATGCACACATAATATGATATAATGAAATATTTGTTTACTTGGGCAAGGCTTGATATTATTATTGTAATGTAGTTAATGCATGGGGTGGTCATCACTTGATATAAT